CCGCTTACTTGTTAGTAAAATGGTTAAATGAACCAGTTTTTTCTGTTTTAAACAGAATTTGGTTTTCGTTACAGTCAAAATATAGGTGCACCCAAAAAAAAACTGAATTAGAAACAATGATAAATTTGGTATCTTGATAGGCGGAATCAATTTGATATGCTCGAAATGTAAGGAACATGTTTTAAGTAGGCCAGTTTGAATTTTGAATGTGTGTTTCTCCCTCCCACTCATATAACTTTAAGCGCTTTCTCACTCTATTTCGAATTAAGGGAATTAGTTATTATCGCTCCCACTCACGTAGTTGAAAAACATTTAAATGTTTTTAATATGGTAAACAAGAGATGCGTATAAATACCAGAAATTTACCATGCCCTTATCTATTTAATACATTTTTTTTGTGTGGAAATTACCCTCGGTTAAAGTCTTACCAAAGATTTTGTGTTTATAAAGTAAGCTACAAAAAAATATTTATGAAAAGTGTCAAAATATATATAAGCACTTGATTTTTACCGCTACAAATCGCCCAGGTCCGAATGACGTTCCCCTAGGTGAACGCTTAAAATGCAGAAATAAATTACACAGCATCAAAAATTTAATCGAAAAGAGGGCGAGACTTTAAAGCGGCGTAAAGGATGGAAGTGCCAACGCGGTGTGAAATTGAAGCGGTTTGTGCGATATGCAAATGCACCTTGGACCGGTTCGTTTGGCATCGGTGTTCCCGGTTCACAGTTCACAGTCTACGCGATGTCCTGCCGAGTCCTTGACATTTTTCGGTGGCGCCAATGTCCGTCCCGCAATACCATGCTCCCCGTCTCCCCTTGCCCCCTTCCCGATCATTCGTCAGCATTTTAATCGCGTTTGTGCATTTGCTTGGAAAAGTCTAAAATTGAACGCAAGTGATGGCAATTTGTACGCTTCGCTGTGCCTGAGAATTTACGGACGTGCAGAGGGAAAATTCGAAGGACACAGGAGGGTTTGAATGGGGAGTGTGCCGAAATTAATATGCGTCGGCTTTTTGGGGAACGGGACAAACTTTGCCGGCAAGGGATTTGGCCGCTGTTGGCCATTTTCCTCTCCTTTTTTTATTTTCTGGCCGGCAGCAGCGTTGGCTCGTGATTAATGTGGCAAATGCGCAGTTATAAATTATTTATTACTATTCTTCGCATTGTTTCCTGAGGCGTGTGCGAATTGGTAAGACATTTAAGCCATATTTTCAAGTGCCACAAAAGGTCAAAAAGGGGATGAAATCTGCGTGGTTCCAGTTTAATATTCTGAGCACCGAATTGCCGCAAAGCGGGGCATAGAACACAAAATCATTTTGTAAAATATTGACAACAAACTTTCAAACGCCAAAAGGAAAAGTCAAATAATTCGTTAAAGGGTAGCTGCTATGTATCTTTAAATTAAATCTTTAAATTTTATAACATAAAAGAAAGCTAAAATATGGGCGGTTTTTACGTTCTTTTTTCCCGAATAAATCTTAAATTATTTTTAATTTAAAAGTTTGCCTTATTCCTTGAAAAGAAATAAGGATAATAAAAAGTTGTCTATCTAAATGGGACATTTGTTGACCCTGAGTTTCAGAAATTCTGAACTGCCGCCCATTATGGACAAAAGTGCCATTTCCAATTCCTCCTCAGACCCTAATTCCCAATGAAAACATTTAACAAATTAAACGACAAAGCCAGCTAATACGTGTTTCCCCTTCCCATTTAGCCCGGATCCACTAAATAGGAACTTTTTGCTTTTTTTTCTTCTTCCCCCCACTTTTTGGTGTGTTTAATTTTTTATTGGGAAAGTTTTGTACTCTGGCCGATCTGAATGGGTGACACTGTCAGCGATTGAAATTTATTTCGCATGCACTTTTTAAATCGAACAAAAATAGATTCCTTCCGCCATATTGAAACACCAGGAAAGCGAACAGGATAAGGCGGCTGGGCTGGGTGGCTAGATGTCGTATATTGGTGGAAAAAGCAATTGAAAACTTCATCATGGTTACAACAATATTTTTACAACGAAATTGGCACAAAAATGTGTCCACGAACTTTTTGCGCAAAGCGTTAGAAAACTGCGGCCAAGGGGGGGCAGTAAAATGGTCAGGGGCGTGGGCGGGGAAAACTTTTGTGCCAGTTACCGACCACGCCCACGTCAACCCATGACATCAACGCCCTGTCACGAATAAAAACTGAATTGATAACATTTTTCAGCTTGTTCTGGTTTTTCGTCGACTTTTTTCGCCCGTGCTTTTTTCCCTCTTTTTAGAATCGGAACTTTTCTAGACTCGCTGCCATTGTTGTTGTTATTTAGTGCACCGCCATGATGGGGTTTTTTTATGTGCTGCCTCTGTCCCGGGCAATTTGTAATCTAAACAACATGGCCCGGCTAACCGTTCCCCAAATCCACGTCGCATATCCTTAAATCCTGGCAAGGCGAGCGCTGGAAAAGTGACAGCCATCAAATGACTAAAGACGCAGCTCGTTGGGTTGGGGGTTATATGTAAAAATGTCGATTTAATATTAGCACCATGAAGGGAAATCAAAGTGGAATAAGAACAAAGTAGCGAGCCCAGGGAAAATGCTGGAAAGCAGGGGTATCGTTCATGTAAATACCTCGTGATGGGATTATGCTTTGGTTGTGGTACATTTTAGACTACATTTGACGGAGGGTTAATATTAATAATCATAATAATCATTTTGATATGAATCAAGATTAAGTTTATCTTAATTTACAATATTTGTTCAAAAATACTAACTTTTGTATATTAAAAGAATATTTTTATAACTTTTATAAAGTGAATAAATATCAAGTTGATACGCTTGAATCATAAATTTGACATTAACCATATCAGCTTTTTATTGATATGAAATAAGGTAGAAATGACCTATTTCATATCTAATTTTTTTTCTGTATACATATCTATTATTTCAAATCGAAGTTAGTACAAATAAAATTACATATGGAATTGATAAACACTTTCATTTCGTAAATAATAATGGTAAATTTTCCAAAAAAAATTCGATTTATTTATAGAGTGAATTTAATGGCACCACGAAATAATTTACCTACTTCGAATAACATATTTCGCTTTGGCTAATTGCAAATTGGTGTAATCTATCCCATGACATAAAATGGACTTAAATCGGCTTATCTGTGGGTGCTCAATGTGCCGCCTTCCCAGGAGCGAACTCAATGACACAGCTCTGCACTCAATCTATATAGAAATCCGATATACCCGGCGGCATGATGGAAAGTAATGGGAGCATAAATGGCTGCAAGCATAAAGAAAATGGCGGCTGACAACAGCTTCAGGTTTGGCTGCTTCTTTTTTGGCCAGGATGTGGCAGCTTGTTGATGATAAACTCTTATGACCCACATTGGCGGGGTGTGGCGGGGGGTCGTGGGGGTCACGAGCGCCGAAAAGTGGGCGCGTTGCCAACACAGATGTGTGCATAGGTGAGGGCTTGTGGAAGGAATACAAACGCAGGCTCACACATATGGCCACACAAGGATGGCAGCTGCATCCGGCGGAAGTTTGTGGCAACACTCGGTTGTGCCCTCTCATGCCGATGGACCAACAAAAACCCCGCACACACACTGCTTCAAGTTAGTTATAAACGTTTATCGATATTATCTATTCCCGACCCACTCTCCCTTGCTCTTGGCAAAGTTTTCGCTGGCTGCAGACAATGAAATGCAAACAAATCACTGCGCGAAAACTTCACAACATGGCGGCAAAGAATGTCGATTTATGGGTGCCAAGTGGAAATATTATCAAAACTATGACTTTGCAGAAGGGAGAATTGTGGGGCGTTGGGTAGGGGGGCTCCAAAAAATTGCCCCCACAGCTGCAGTCGCCAAATGCGCTTGTTTATTGGCTGAGTTTCTGGGTTGTGCAAGTGGCGAAAATAAAAATTCATTCTGTGTGCAGGGACTTTCGCAAATGCAACTTTATTCTGGCAAAAAATGTTATGCAGTTCAAATATTCAACATAAGTAGCAGTAAAAGCTATCATTATAATCACTAAAGAATCAAGTTTAAAGTATGCAATTAAACGCCTATAAAATTATTCCATCGGCAAATAATTTATCTTTTCATTTATATTTTTCACAATTTTCCGTTCAAGGACCGACCGACCCACTTAACACACCTGGGCAAGGCCATAAATTTCAATCAAATATCGAGTATGAAGGAAATTTCGAAATCTTTTATCAGGTATGCGGGTGGAGAAATACATTTCGCACATAATTTGCAGTTGCCCGCCATTCGGCAGCCGAACAATAATACTAAAAATTTATCATGCGGCCCCGTTTACGAAGTCAAACCTGAAAAAAACCTGAATAACGCAGGCCTTGCATGATGAATGACAATTTTTACCCGATTTATATGGCAGAGGGGCAATGGCAGGCGATGAGTCTACTCACAGTCACATTCCTTGCATTTTTCTCTCTTATTGCGAATGGCGATAACAGGCAGCACAAAATGGACAATTCGCATACAAAATGCTCGTGCACAATAAATTATTCGGACGGCATAACAAAACAGGAAAAAAGGCAAGATGGCACGAATGAAAGGCAAATAGGTACATAAGTGGGTGTACGAAGAACACAGGCGAATTCGTTGAAAATTGTTGATCTGCACAACGGTGCGTATGCGTGTTTTTGTAATTCTGTATGTCCACTTCAATGTAGTATAACTGAACAGAGGTACTTTTCAAGAATGTAGGGAATATATTCTATTTAGCTTTCTAATGGTAAAGAATATTGATCATACGCAGTGTTGTCTTTATGCAGTTATCCACTCACTTATTTCGAATTTCTGACTACATTTATTTTAAATTAACGTTTTCGTTGGGTACGAGTCTTATCCAACTCGTTTTTTTATTGAAAACTTTTTCTATTGAAAATAACGTTTCAAGAAAAATCTAATAACCATTTAGTTTTCAAAGTTTTCATATTTTGGGCAATGGCAACACACTGTATTTGGGTAAATTGTGCACTTACCAGCCAGCACAGAGGTGGAGTTGTGACGGGGGTCGTAGGGGCACACCGCCTGTCCGTTCTTTGTGGCCTCCAGCGTGTAGTTGCTGTCGCTGATGATGTACGTATTGCACATGGGTCGGAACGAGTTGGTGCCGCAAACGAAGAGGCGACCTGGCGACGGCACCACCATGATGCGAATGTAGTTCTGGCAGGCCTCCTGAAAACGTTGAAAGGATTTTAGAAGACCGAACATAATTTTACCTTTATCTTAATTTGTAAAACATTATAAGAAATAAATTAAACTGTTGGTTAAAATAATATGGATTTATATACTGCTCAAAAAAAGAAATCAAACCAAACTTATACTTTATATTACTTTTTTTAGTCATTCTTTCAAGGGTTTTCTTTTTTTAAATTTATTCACTGACCCAAAACTGGTTAAAAGGATCAAAGTGACCCCCAAACTATTTTGCATAAATGCTCCGCAAATTGTAATATTTAAAGCGTAACAAAAGCACTTCGAAAACAAACAACGAATGTTGCTGCTGGGGTGGTGTACCTGCAACTCAATAAATATTAAAAGGCAAATGCGCAACTTGCTCCCATTTAGAAGAGTCAGAGCGAACTTTTCCCATAGTGGTGGAAAATTGTTGGCTGACATTTCCGGCGCCATCCTCCCACCACTCCCACCAGCCCAGTGTGTCACCATTACAGCCGGAAGTGTTTGCACTCCGACATGACAAATCATTTGAAATACTCCCAGGCAGCAGTTTCCATTGTACACCTTTCATCTGTCTGTCGCAGTTCCTGTGAGCGTTAAAATATTTAAATTTTTTGTTTGTTCGCTACATATAATTTTCCCTGTATTAAGTTGGAATTACAACGAAAGCAAGAAAACTTTTCAGAGGTATTTAATTTTCCTATCGAGCAATTTATTTCAACAATCTAAACGCCTATCTCTAATTACCCTCTTATATATTTGTGTTATTAAATGCTTTCCTTGGATTTAAAGGCAATTAATGGTCACACATTTCGCATCAATAAATATTATAATTGACATAAAATTGCACACGTAATTGGCCTAAGTACTCCACACTTAAATTACGTTTTACTTAAAATTAAAGTCCTTGAAAAACCTGATTAGAGATGCAGAAGAATTATGACGCTTTACGATTTGTTCCTAGAATTATTACCCCTGGGCTCTGGCAGTCTTGTATCCGCACAAAATTCGTTTTCCACTTAATTTAGTTCATTGTCCAGAAATATTTAACATGCTCTGGCCTTGTTTTGTGTGGCCAAACTATTGGAGCATAAATTAAAATAAATTAACAACACAATTACATGAAGTCGGGGGGTGGTCGGTGAAGTTTCAGTTTTCATTATTTCCCTTGTAATTAACACACATAGCAGAGACACAGACGTACAATGTTTAGAATGCAATTAACTGTGATATTTATTAATTTGCTTTCAAAATGTTGCGGTTGCCATAGGCTTTTTACCGCTGGTTAATAAATAATTCTTGTTTTTTGTTTTCGGTAAAGAACCTTTCCCCCTTTTTCCCCAAAACAAATTATCTTTATTCTGTTTGTTTTAAGAAAAAAAACATTTATTTTATTTTTTACCACAATTTTATTGAGTTCCAAGTGCAGAACTATGAAATTAAATAATTTTGAGTATTGATTTGGGCTTTAAATTGAAATGTGAAATGTAATTTTGTAAGTGAGAGCAGCCGAGCAGCGTAATTCTGCCCTCTGGCTGTCTGAGCTCCGTCAGTCATATTTCGTGTTCGAAAATTATAAAGTGAGAGGATTTGGGGCCCACCCCATGCTTGTGGGTAGGACTCTTCAGGTTGTGTCGTGTTTTAGCTTCATTAAAAAATTTGTTGCCTACCTTCAGGCATTTTGCAGCAGTCAAAACTTGTATCTGGAATTTTCTTTTGGAAGTTTTTCTTGCCATTGACAATGAACAATAAAACTTTCTCATGACCTGACGTTTGGTTTTTGGTCTGATTTGTTTCTTGTGAAATTATCTGTTACATTTTTAAAAGCTTTTTAATTCACACAGTATGTTAAATATAACAAAATTAATACAAAGTCAATGTCGAAGGCACGGCCTAATTAACAGAAATGACTGATTTGAATGGGAAACCCGAACAAGTGGGTTAAACGAGCTGTGTGAACAGTGTATTGAGTCCGGATGAATCGAAAGGTATCCAGGACACATTTGCATGGATCCAGGCAGACAAAGAAGACCAAAGTGTTGCCCAACCCCGCATAAATTCAACAGCATTTTCCAATCGAACAATGGGCGTCTGCAATCCAAAGTACAACTCTCTGAGTCTCTGGGATGGGAAAATTCTGGGAAAAGCCATTTGCAAACCAAATCGAAGGTTTAATAAGGAAACAAGAGAAGGCCAAGTGACAACGTGGGCGATGCTTGTGATTCGCTCGATGATTGAGGTCATAGTTCTCCTTAATGCGATAACAACCATCTTAGTAGTTCAATAAGGACTTTATAAGGGCAAGATAATAACACGTTTATGTTTCAAAATTAATGGTGAAAATTGTATCATAATTGTCTGTTACATTTCCACTTCGGTTTTACTTAATTGTGTTTAATTTCTCATTGCGAAATACTTTTCATTGATTTATTTGGTTCACTTATGTTTAATCCACTCAGAAACCAATAAAAAATATTTGTATTGTATGTTGTTCCTTTTTACATTTTAATATTTTATAAATCAGCCATGGTCAATTTTATGGATGATTGCAATGAACGTTGACTGCTCATTTGGTCCCCATAGGGTGTGTTTACACAGTTTTAATAATACTTTCATCAGCAAATCAGTTAAATCCCTGGTAAAGAAAAATGGGTCACAATAAATGTGGATCTAGCATACACCCAAAAAAAAATCCGAAAGTTTACAGTTAATGAGCGTTGTATTAAAAGTATACTACAGCTAGTGTTAAACTGTCAGTATTAATTTAAAACTATATAATGTAGGGAGCAGATTCAAGAGTGTTAGGTTAAGACTAAATAGTGTTAAGTTTATGCCCTGAGTTTAATTTCTATACCGAAGTTTCTATTTTTGTTCCTGGTGTGAGGCCAGGATGCTCTGGTTTGGAACCTGGACATTTCGAACCGAAAAAGTGTTACCGCTTTTTAATGATATTCGACGCGTTAGTATTTAACATTAGTGTATTTTGTAAACGACGCTGCGGTCTGTTTAAGGTTTGTTTGTGAAAATCACCTGTGAAAATTTTAATATTTGCTTATTTTGGGCTTATTTGAAATGTAAGTACATTAAAATTGTGTCTTAGTGCATAACTAATGAGTAAATTCTTTTCTTTTTACTGACACCACCATGAATTGCGCTCCAGATGCCGGGAAACCAAGGATCTTGCAATTGGCTTGCATTTTTTCTGACCGCGGCCAGCGCAATGTTAACTTCAATATCAGCGTCCTCGACCAAGCTTCGGTATTCATCTGGACGGCGACCACTCTGGAGATGATCAGCGACATAAGCGGTAAAACGGCTGCATTTGCCCAAATATGCATTACCTTCAGTAATTTATAAAAATGTAAAAAATACTTTTAATAATATATGAAAAGTACAAAATAACATTTTTTGAATTTTGTCTCTTTAATACGGGGTATAATATTTATACTGGCATTATACTAAATAGTATACAAAATAAACTGGCAGCCTAAATTTCAGTACACTGAGTGAGTATAAGCTGTATACTCGTTAGTTTAAACTTGACAACTTCGAAAGTTTCATTTTTATACTTTCGAAGTCCATTAGCTTAATACTCAGAGTATCGAGAAATTTTTGACACTCAATAGTTTACTTTTAATGTAGAAATAGTTTAGTTTCTATGATCATTTTTTTTTGGGTGTACCTATATGTCACTTTTGAGTGTACTTATGTGACCTTAACACAAGCCAACTTAATCATGGCGTGAGTTAAAACTATTTATATTAGTAAGCCTTAAATGCACTCCGCATTAAAAAGATTGCAGACTTTTGAGTCGGTCTTGATTATCAACTTGATTAACTCGACTTTTTCGCATCCAAATTAGTGGCCAAAATGCCGGTTAATTAAAATTGTAAATTTTGAACTTTTCTTTTCATTTCTTTTTGCCAGCCAAACAATTGCGATTTATTTTTAGAGGTAAAAACCTTTTGTGGGAAATGGCATCGCTGCACGCCACGGGGAAACTTTGCTTCTTTCTTCCCTTTTGATGCCATAAATAACGCGACCCACCCGTGCACAAACATATAAAGTGACCCCACTCAGGTGGAGCCGGCAAGCAAATTGAGTTCAACAAATTACACCTGCTAATGCTCTGGTTCGCCTTATTTTCGTTGCTCCTGCTGGCTGTGCTATGTGCAATTGCTGGCACGACCAGCCAACAAGTGTTGGCTAATTACGTGAGCAAAAAGCCAAACTTGAAGTGCACTTGAGCATGCACAAAAAAGGCGAAGAAAATACTCAAAGGGCAGATGAGGCACTTGGAATTTGGGTTGGAAAATGCCCTGAAAACAAACATTTTTAAAACCTTTTTTAATATTATTTTAAAAATAAAGAGCTTTGAGTGTGAAATTCAAACTTCATTAATTTGTAAAAAACACAGTAAAAAGTTTATTCATTAACTATTTCAATTTGGTGCAGGCAAATTTTCGTCTAAGTAAAATTATATTTTATGTTTTTATAATTTAAGACTTAAGGCACTTGTCCTTTTTAATTTTCTATGATATTGTATGGAATACAGTATTTGGCCTAGTTGACCGGAAACGGAAGGCGAAACAAAAAACCAACCAGCAAAGACAATTTGAAAGCCAAAATATTTGCAATTTCCATTAGGCAAAAGTTTGCTTTCAGGCTTTGATTTGCTTGCCCCACTCCGAACTCAATTTAACCCCCTATTCCCTCTGCTCAACTGGCATTTTCTTAATAGGTCAACTGCAGTGGTGAAGAGTTTTCAATAAATTTCCCTGATTTCTTAGCCACAAAGAAGAAACCCAAAGAACGGGGCAACAACGGAAAAAGTTGCATAAATCAATTTCTTCTTGTGTGGCGTACTTCTTCTCCATAGTTTTCCATGTTTTTAGCGCGAAAAAAGTTAGAATAGATGGCGAGAAAGAGAGAAACACTTTATTGCCTTGTTTTTGCATTTCTCTGGCAACGGAAGCAACAGCCAAAGTTGAAATCGAAATGGAAATAGGAATGGAAATGGAAATGGAAATTGCAAGGCCATCAGGCCAAAGTGCTAGGAACTTTATAAACAGCAAGACAAAAAGCTGAAAATGAAATAAAATGTGTAGTTTGGTTACTAAGTGACACGTAAATATTATTTCAGGTGTCTGTGATTAGGTGGAAAGCTTTGCAACTATTTAATAAAGTTTCCAAAATTGCATTTCCAGTAAATAGTGAATTTCGTCAGGTAGAATATTTTTGAACTCCCTTTTTTAAGGCTTTTATACTTAAGATGATAAAGTAATAAATTTATTTTGTAAAAATCAAGCATGCCAAAATGTATTTTTAATTGATTGCCCCTTTGCACTCACCTCATCCTTGCCCTTGACGAGACACATTTTGGTATCATCCTCCGGCGACGTCCAGACCAAGCGCTGCTGCTCGACGAGATCATGTATGCTTAAATTAAAAACCGTGTTTCTGCAAAAGACAAATAAAGGACATGGAATAAGAAAGAGTTCATCGCAAGTTGTGGTCTACAAAGATGTGGAAATTTCCCGCAGATAGAATTTGTGCGGTTCTCGTTTTATCGTCCTTATCAGTTGAGTAAGGGGCATCTGGCGGTTTCCAGAGAATTAATTAAAAAATTAATTAAAATTCATTTGGCCTTTTCGGGGCCTGGCAATCAACACGCAGCCTGTGACCAGAGGACCACAAAAAGCCTCTGGTCTATGTTTTGTTTTCCTTTTAACCTTTTACCCTCCTGTCGGCTTGAATGCGATATTTGTGCAGAAATTCCAAAATTCTCGTTAATAAAATTTTACACACCCACACATGTGGTGCATGTTCGTGTGTCCAAGTGCGACCCACAAAATGAAGTGGTGCAAGGATGGGCGTGTCACATCCCGGTATTTCGGTGCTGGAGATGGGGGTTGGAATTTCATAAAATCAACTCATTGATTATTGAAACCACAACTACGTGTGAGTGTGAGTGCGAGTGTGTGTTTGTGAGTCGGTGACGGTGTGGTTAGTGCACCTTGGTGTGGGTGCACTTTGGTCGAACACTTTATGACTGCCATATACGGAAATCAGCCATCGCACCACCCGAACCCCACACCATCATCAAAAACCTGCATAAACGACAGCCTTATCGAAACTTTTCAAATTTGCCTTCTTTTTTTTGATTTGGCTGTTGTTGAGCTCCGGTCTGAATGCAGCAAAAAGAGCGGAAAATTTTAAATAAATACATAGATATGCAGATACTATATTTGCAACAGAGCTGTGGGTTTGCATACAAATGCCCAAATTGAGTGAGGCTTCTAGTTAAGAAACTAAATGGAATGCATCCAACTATTGAATAGGTGTACGTTTGAGGAATTATAAAAATAAATGCATTTCTGCTTGAAGGAGAGTATCCATTTTACTTTCTAACTAGAAATGGCTTAGTTTGGAACTTGTATTTCGAATTGGAGATAATAGTCAGTTTGCCGTTTTACTTTCCTAACGCTTAGTTAGATACGCTAAAAAATTACTGTATGACCAACTGCGATTGCAGCGGGGAAAGGACCTTTCGCAGAACAGGACACAGCCTTTGTTTGGCAATTATGCAGCCCGTTTTAATTATGACAACGGCAAAAGGCGACTTCAAACGAACGTGCACCATCAGCAACATCGCAGAACAGCGGCAAAATCAGCAGAGTTGCTGCAGCTGCATTCTTCCTTGCCCTCGACTGTCACCGCCTGCTGTTTCCAGGACGTATATAGCCAGATATACGCGTAGGTAGGTACACATAAAATGCGCTGAACCAAATTAGCATATAAAGGGGACAGTCTCTGTAATGGGTTGGATGTTGGACGCGGTGGAAAGGCTAGAAAGGCAGGTGGAAAGGCTCAAATGTTGCTGATAGGTTAAAGGAACCGTACCGAAAATAGAGCTGATGGTAAACTTTGGACACTCTGCTCAAAAATAAATAATGATTAAGTACTTAGCTTTTAAAATGAATAGATTTCACTAATATTCGATTGCCTATTGAAATATTTAAATGAAATATTTTTTATATTATAATTTGCTTTAGAGGTTTTTTTTACTGGGGCTACACTTTTTTATAGTTTAACACTTAAGATATTATTCAAACTAGCTTTAAAAGCTATTACCCACCAAATATAAATATTTATATTGGATTTATTATAGAACACTAGAATAGGAAACCTTTTTCAAAAGGGTGTAGAAATGGCTGGTGTTACTCTTGTCGCAGTTTGTTGTTGCTACTGTCGCTTGTCGGCTTGCAACGCTCACAAACACATAAACACTTTAGCGCATTGCTTAACATACATAGGCACACACACACACATAAAGTGCAACAAGCAATTCAAGCGCTTGTGAAAATGTCGCGGAAAATGCCAAAGCGAGGTGAACGCAAAGGGAAATTCGACGGGGAAATGGAAAATGGGCGATATATGTGTGTGTATGGAGTGGTGCATTTTAAAGAACGCATTTGGCGTGAAAACCGAGCTCATAAATATTTTCCACACGGGGTAGTGTGTTAGTGTTGCAGTTGTCCCAGTTGTTGCAGTTGTTGCTGCCTGCCAGCAGTGAACGCAACGATTACGCCAGGATTTCCACTGCTTTGGCTCGTTTTATCCTGCCCATGGTGCTCTTGTTGTTTTCCTTGTTGTCCCTGCTGCAGTTGCACATTTAGCAATCCTCGTTGTTGCCGCTGCGTTGCAGTTTATTATTATGCAGCTTAAGCGCAGTTGGCAAATATAAAGGGGAATATGTGCGGAGTTCCTCTAGGAAAACGTTTACACTTTACATTTTAGTGGGATGAAACGCTGGCGATAATGAGGCAGCACGATACCAACGAATTTGGCAAATATTAGGATACATGTGAGTCCTTGTTGGCAATATGCTCAAAACTAAACGAGCGGTTTCCGAAAATACAATAAAAAATCAGCTTCGTTTTAATAAACACATTCCCGTCGATTAAATTCAAGCAACGGGGCGCAAAATAAGGATAATTACACCCAAAAAAAAACTTGATATGAAACGATGATTGATTTCAAGTAATGTGGTATCGATTTTGACTTGACTTTCTTCCTTCCGCTATCTCGCTCTACTTCAAAGTGAGAGAGTTGAACTTCTCGCTCCCACTCCCGTAATTTATGACGCCACATTGCTCAGTCAGAGAATCTCCAAGAGAGATTTCGGTAAAAACAATATGCGTGTGCAATACCAGAAATTGACCATGCGCATATCGATTTGACCGTGACAGTTATTTTTCTTGTGCGTAGTAAAGATTTGTTTACTTAAATAATTTAGACGGTTCAGTTTTGTCCGTAAAAATAATAAATTTTCTGTATAAGTACTTTAAACTTAACGATACATAAAATGTGCCAAACCAAAACTAATAAAAGGATAAATGCAGGAAACAAGAGTACGAGTGTGTGTGTGTTAACGATAACTAGGCAAATCAGGCAACACAACATTTTGCGTGGTAACCATTTGATGGCTGGCCATGGGTTTGAAATACCTGCGGTTTGTGGAAATGCCATTCAACCCCAAAATAATTCGTGGCTTACGTCGACATGAGCCAAATTTCATTTAAACGGAACACGAAACGATTACAAGTGAATGTATGTATACATGAATATAAATTCGAAATAATCAAAAATATAAACAGCAAACTACCACTAACAAGCGACTTTTAAATAAAATATAATCATTGGAAGAAATAAATTGGTTTATTTTAGAAACTGCTGAAATTCAATCTGCTACAGTTTAAAATTCCTGCAGCAGTGCAATAACTTACAAAATTAACAGACAGACATCAAACATTCTCCATTTACATGCCATAAACAAATTTAAATTCATTTAAAATCCGCTCATTGCTCGCCACCATCTTTAACCAACCGACCGACAACCAACAAACAAATCAACCATCCGCCGTGTTGCCAGCCATCCGAACAGCAATAACAACAAGGACAACCAGCAGGAAAACAAAACCCGCAGGCAGGACCCTTTTCAAATATCAGCTGAGTGCAAAGAGGCAACAAGAAACAAAGCCACATGCACATAAATAACGACATTGCGGTCGAGGAGACCTCGCAAAACCTCGAAGAGGGTACACCCAGAGGGTATCAGTCATAAAATAGATTGAAGCAACCTCTGGAAAGGCAAGACGAAGGCGAGGAAAGAAAATTCGTGTCGCCATCACTACCGTCGCCATTTTTGTGGTTTGACCCACAAAAAATATCGAGTTTAGGCAGAGAAAGGCAGAATCCCGAAATAAAAACAACAAGTCTACACCCAAATGAAGGAAAACTGCGAGAAAGAGGTACAAAGTGGAATAGAAGCAGTAAATTACTCATACGCAACGTTGCAGGCTTTCTTTCATGACCTTGGGCAGGCAGACAACACTCCGCCCTACTTCATTATAAATAACACCGCTTGAATGATTGATTTGATTTTCAAGCTTGTTTTCTTGGTATTTTCCTCCTTACGAACAGAACATTTCTAGGTGACATGTAAATATTTAGGAATTATGTAAATTAAACTGGCTTTGGCATTCCAAGAAAAATGATTTCTTTTGTGTTACAGCTGAAAATCATTGTCGTGCCTTATTGGCAATTCACTTGAATAATGAAAATTCACTTGACACTCGTTTTCAATTATCGAGCTACGTGGAAAAGTCTCCAGTATTGTCAGCCTTTATTTTGGTAAATTTATTGTACTTTTTATGCAAATTTTCAAGGCAAAATACGAGCTGGTGTGTCTTTATATACATTTACATATACATTTTAAAGGCTTAAATCATACCTTAAAAAATATGTTTTGTTTAGGTTTAATACGACACTCTAGTTTTCTTCATAAATTTAAAGCAAAAGGTTAGAAAATACATAACTTATATAACATTCAAAGATTAGAACACATTAAATTGTCCGGTATTTTTGCAATCGGCTTACAACACTTAATGTAGCCTCATTTTCAATATTTTCGCCCGCCCCAAGTCTTTTCGATAAGCACTACTAAACTATTCTTTTCCGTAAATCAATTCCTTATCTCCATAAATTTCCTTTGAATGGCCAATTGAGATGGCAAATTGCAGGACTGAATTCATCAGGAAAAATGCCAGCAACGTTCAATGTCACACGTCATCAGCGCCCCAAAGGAATGCCCGAAGGCAATCAGAGAAAAGAACACTCGACTTCCGGAATGCATTGATGCATTGATGCGTTGATGCCGATTCTGCTTGTGCTTCTGATTCTGATTCGGATTCCGATTTCGATGCAGCTAAAGCCTCCGGGGGCGTGGCAGATGGGGGTTAACATAACGGTAAATGGTTTTTCTGAATAGCTAAGCAAATCAGGCGAACTTCTCATGTTTCTTCGCTTTCGAGGCTTTTCGGTTTGCGCAAAATTTATGTTTGTCGCCGCCATTTGCATGCGCTCGGTGTCTCATGTGTGCGAGTGTGTGTGTTCAAAATGGCAGCCGTTGCAGAAAAAAAAACATTTAAGCGCAGCGAAGAAAGGGGAAATCCCACACACACACGTACAGACATGCACACCCAACACACATCCATCACCATTTCGAGTTGAGCTTTTGTCATTTTTCATTGACTTTTTGACTCTGCCAGAGATTCGGCTTCGCCTTCAACTTCATTCCACATCACTCGATGATGCTGACTAAGCCAATTCGGAATTCGGGGCATTGGATGCCCCTGCTTTACACTGAAATTAATATTATTCTTGGAATCAATTTGGAAACGTTTCAATTATGCAGATGTACAAGATATGTTGAGTAATAAAATTCATTTATGCGCATTTATTTTGGCTAAAAAAAACTCATGAAAATTCAACTGCATTTCCAATCCAAAAATCAAAACTAAATTTAGAGATGGTCGCCCACCATGTTTTAAGTGCAATTCCCTAGCTAGAATCCTAGGATCCCGGCAGACGGTTTGAATTTCCATGTTATTGACCAGAGTTTTTTCTTATGTGTGCAACAAGCCCAGCGCAGCCAAACCAAATCAACCGAACAAACCCTCAACAGAACCACGTTATATCGTGTGCCATTCACTCAATGGAGGCAGAAAATGTCGAAACTGTCAAATGCCAAAAACCCAAATGTGAATTGCCCGAACAGAGCTGAGCTGACCCACAACTTCATATCGTTGTATGTAGTTGAAACACCCCCCGGTACCACTGCCACCCACTCACCCATTCACCCACCGAACCAATCAGTCCAGTTAACCAGGTGGTGGCATTTGACATTTGCCCTTTGGCCAAGTCAGGTGCGGAGCGTTTGTTCCTGGCCACAGGCAAACTTGCCAAAGCGAATTGCATTTCATCATTGTGGTCTCATAAGCCTGATTAAACTCCAATTCGGAGTCAAAATTGGACGTTCTTGGCAAAGCCACATAAAATATTAACTGCAAACTGGATCGGTTTTAATTTGATGACTCCAGAGACCAAGACTGCTTCGAAATGGAAATCTGCCTGCCATTTGCAAAAATGGTCAAATTAGAGCTGGCCCTGCTACAAAGAAATGCAGCAAGGATATTGCTTTTATTTAAAAGTGAAACACAGACAAAGTTAGCAATGAGGTAAGAGTTTTATGGTCGAATGAAAATTCTGCCAATTTAACCAGCAAGTTTTCATCAATAGTTTTGAATCATTATTGACATTATTCTGTAATCACCCAAATTTACCAATCAAAACCAAGTTATCTATTTAATGAAGCACACAACACATTTCAGAAAAGTCGATTACTGGACAAAGGCGTTTTAAGCAATGGACGAATACCTTTGCCATACCTCAAGACAAAGCCATATCATAGGCTATAAACAATGGCTCATAGCAAACAATGCACTCCCTTTTCGTAGGCTTTTAAGCTAGTGACTTGGCCTAGCACATCAATTCGAAATCCTTCAATCCATTCATTAGGGCGATTACATTTCAATCCCGAACGTCTGATGTATTTGGCCACGCAGAAATGGACTTAAATCGTCAGAAATTAGCGGATGCATTCTGCATTTACACATTCGCGCGGATGTGAGCAAAAACCAACGCAAACGGAAATGAATTTGCGGTGCAGAAATGATTGTTGTGCGGTTGTACAAAGGACCCAACCCACACATATGCACAGTGCCGGCAGAAGAACAAGAACCAAATGGAAAATAAAAGACGGACACCGCAGTGAGAGTGTGTGCGTGTTTGGGAGTAAAGGAATTTTCAGACCTGCCGACAAAAGGAAAATTGCATACAAAAATTGGTTGAATGCAAGCCAACAGTGGAGCGAAAGTAAGAGAGTATTCAGGAACAGCTAAATAATAGATAATATCAGAAGAATTTAAAATGAACATACAAATTTTATTTAAAAAGTCAAAGTTAAAAAAAAAAAAAAATTCCAAATTCCAATTCAATTGTATCTAAAACCACTGTGCACTCTCGCCAATTGCGTTGAAAAAGACGTTAAAAGCCGAAAGATAGGCTGACATATAGAGCACACTCGAGTACCAAACGTGAGAGACAAAGACAGAAGGCACAGATAAAGAGAGACGGCGAATGAATCAAGGCCCGTTAGGCAACGAAATGGATTTTTCCTTTGTTCGTTTAGCAATTTTATTTCCGCCTTTGTCGCGATTCATTCGATTGCCTGCCAACCTGACATGGGCATGGGAATGGAAATGGGAATGAGAATGGAACGGAAATGCACGGCCGGAACGGAATGGGATGGGATGGCATGGCACGGAATGTGGCAATGACAGCAGGGAAAACCGTTGGCACATATTTCCCATCTTAATGTGTTAACCCAATTTTCATGTCGGAGCGCATTGCTGCGGAATATTTATAGATCGCAGCGAGGAAATCTAAAAGTGGAGGAGAAGCTTTACGAACATTTACCGCTGAGTTGCGGAGGTGTCCTGGTTTAGACAACCACTTCCAGCTTATTTGCATAAGTGTCACGAGAGATACCAACACTAATGGCTGAGGTAGTTACCGTAATATGTTTAAAGTTGCACGGGGGGCTTACATTCCTAATAAAAATAAACGTGACCGGTTCCCAAAACAAACTCAAGCTGAGTCAGCTTTTTTATTTGTTAATCAAAGTGGCTTTTTAATTTTCAGTTTTAGTTTTCAATTGAATTTATTCTTTAAATTAGAATGTAGAAGCAGACAGATCAGCAATGATATAAAAATCAATAAAATAATAACCATTTACAATATAGTGGTTGGTAAATTTTAACCTACGGATGATTTCAGAAATAATTATAGGGGCTAAAAAATTGCTTTTGACATGTCTGACATCAGGTGCTGAATAACACAGTACCTACTTTGCCACAGGAAATGTAAAGGTATAGCTATGCCCTGGAAAATGGGGCGATCAGGAGGACTGGGGTGTAGTTCGCCTGCAGAACTTTCCTTTCCACTCTCTCTTTTTTAACATTGTTCATGACGTTTCACATGCAAAACGCGTGTCACATTCGCATTTCCGCCTGTCATCCTAGTTTAGTTGGTCCACCCTAACCCACCTCCCCTTAAAAATACACCTTCCTACCCGCACGCACACTACGAAACCGAAGCCCACGCACACACTTAAACACACGTGGCGCTTTTTGGCTTTCACCAACAGTCGCCGGAGAGGTTTTCCTTTGGTTACTTTGACTCTTTTGGGGTCTGATAAGTGGATATGTGCGTGTGTGAATTCCTTTTCGCAATGCGAGTGTGCAACTTGTTAAAAATCCATTAATCACGTAAGTGGCAACTCTGGCAACGACATTGCCGGCATACAAATTTGTTCATGCGTGCGAAAAAGAAAAACTGGAAAAACCCTTACCCACACCAGTGTTAGTGCGCGTGTGTGTGAGTGTGTTTTGGGGTTCCTTTAATTTTCCTGCTTTGGTTATTTGGTTATGCTTTTGCATTTTACTGCCTCATTATCTTCACATAGTAAATTTCTCTGCTGGGAAACTGTTTTTATAGTGCTTTTCAGCTTAATTATTTAGACATCTTACCCATTAAAACAACGAAAATTACTAGTTATAGTATTTATCACTCTATCGAAGAAACCAAGTTTAATTCGTATTTAATTAAAATAGGCATATGTTCCATTTATTTAAAGTTTGTTTAAAGTCGTAACCATGTCTGGACATTTTCCCATTGTTCTATTGGATAAAGGAATTCTATCCAATGTGTTGATGCCTTCCCTTACATGTTGCAAGCATTCCCAGACTAAAAAAGATTCCACGACGCCACACACACAAACAGACAAGGTATCAGGCAAGTTTATTAAGTCTCGTTGGGCCCCAAAAAGTGTGCAACATTTTAATATGTATGTCAGTGCGTTGTCCATGTGTGAGTGCTAATGTGGGTGTGTTTATGTGCTCATATGCTGGCATTGTCTAGGCAAAATATATTAAACCCAACATTTGCAGCAAACATATTTTGCGGTCTCTGACAACGACAAAATGTACAGTACCCTTACAGTCGGCCCATTCAGAAAAAGGCTTGAGTCTCAGCCCAACCTTGGCAGCCCTTTAAGTCTTCTGGGGTTATATCTCGAGAAGGAAGTACTGGAAACTTTAGCACAGTTCCTCATATCTTTGGGGCACCTGCTGCAAAAGTTTCCGCTTCCTTTCGCACTGGATTTTGTTTCTGTTTCTCTTGCCAGCGTTGCAAAATCAAAGTTGCCACGAGAACTAGCTAAGGGTACACTTCCTCCCCCGAAAACAACGCCATTTTTGGCCCTGAGAAAGTTTGTCATGTTTGTTCGTATATGGGGAAGTGAACATGCTAGTATCTTCTACTTAAATTAAATACAATGTCTGCGAAAAGTAAATTGAAGTTTGCTTTATGCGCACTTTTCACTTGCCCTTATCCTTCCTATTTTAGAATTTCCCTCCCTTTATTCAAAGAATTTCATTTAAACCAAACTAATTCTTTGAAGCCTATTTATACCGAAAATATACCTTGGAGAATTGATATTGTAATTATGGGAAAGCTGGGAAAATATACATTTGTAATTGCTTAAATGTATTTGATTTACTTATAGATATAATTTAATTTTAGTTTAATTTAGTTTTAAGTTTAGTTTTTAAATTACTCATAAAGATGTTTTAAAGTATGCTTTGAAAAAGTTTCGTGGTGATTTGACGGTACCTTTGATTAAAAATATTTTTTAATAATTTAAATATTTTTACAAACTAATTATACATTCAATTGGCAATTCTCCAGTTCCGACGCATGTATGTTAATCCTTTTTTTGTTTTCCAAGTAAAAATGTATAATTGGGCTCTTACCTGGCACCGATGAGCAGGCTGTTGCCATCCTTGGTGACGAGCTTGAAGTGATCCACGACACTTTCGTTGCCCACAAACTTTAGTACATCTTCGGGACCTGCAAAGGCAAAATGAAAAGAGGATTATAAATAAATTGCACCGGGCAACGGGGAAAATGCAAAAATTGCTGGGAGACAGATGAGTTGGCCGGATGGTTTTGGTTCGGCCAGCAAATGCCTAATTAGGCAATTAGGCGGCGTTAAAGGCGACAAAAAGCAGTTGAGAAGAAAGGAAGAAGGCAAGCGGATAATCTGGCAGTCAGCAAAGTAAAAAGCAGAGGAAAAGGCTGCCACATGGCGGCGCACAGGGAACCGACGCAGCTGGAGTTAAAAAAAGAAAATGGGAAATGCGGCTTGGGGGCTGGTGTCCTGATGCGCCATCATCCCCGCTGATATGCAAAAAAGGGCAGCTGCACTAAGAATAGCCCGTTTAGCAACAGCAACATAATCAGCAGCTGCAAGTACAATTTTTGTCGTTTGTTTACTTTGCTTATTTGCATCTACTTTTTGCAGTCGTTCCGGAAAATCTTTGTTGCCCGCCACTTGCCACAACTTCAACCAGTTCATCTATCTGTCTGACCGATAAAAAGGGATTAAACCGCAAGGTAAACTCTGAAGCTCCGATAATTTATTCAGCTTCTTCAGTGAAATGATAAACACATTTTCTTAAAATGAAGAATAAACGTAAGAACTTTGGTCTTTTATCATATTAAATAACGTTGCAGCTTTCTATATGTTTTTAAATTAATATCTTTTATGTTTAATATCCTAAATTTAAAAATAGTTTCATAAATAAATAAGCCATTCAACATATATACTAGGTACCAAATTTGTTAATAAAATCTTAGTTTGAAATGTTTATTTGCATAAAAGGATTAAAGGATGTTAAAAATATTAAAATTACTGTCTAAGGGTTCCTCATTCATTTTTTTTAAACCCTTCGTAGTTAACCCTATTCCAGCATTCGATCAATGATGTTGCAGCAGCTAAAAATAATTTTTCTTATTTTCCTTAACTTTTTTGCCTTTTCAGCGAGCTTTTAACTTTTAACTGCAAATGTTCGGTCAACCACAAAAGAGCGAAAAAGTTTTTCTCGTTTTTTCTCACTCAATGTCCTTTTCAACGCGGAAATGGAAGCGTGGAAAAGGACTGGGGAATGCCACCTGGTTATTGAAAGCGCATTTGAACGCTTTTCATGTTCGTCCACTTTTCATTTCAACGGGTGGGAAGAAAAAATAAAACAGAAATGGCAAAAAACGAATGCTAAAATTAATGGGTAGAATGAACGCTTTTATGCACGAGACAGAAGAGCCTTTTGTTTGCTTGACATTTAACGTGACACGCGGGACATGTGCACAACTGTGGGGGCGGTATGTTCTTTTTTGGGGCAGGAGAAGTGTGCCAACTACAGGAAAAGTTAAAACCTGGACCCGCAACAGAGCCCTTCAAATGAAGCGACATTTTTTTAATTTGGCTCCGTAATTAAAAGTAACAAAAGCAACCGAAGGAAAGGAAAGAAAACAAAAGCTCAAGAAAGTCAGGGAAAATAAATATAACGAATGAAAAAATAATTATAGCAGACAAAAACATGAGAAATGCTAAGAGATAAGAGGAGAGTGATGGCAGAAAAAAAACTTGAAGAAGCAGGTTAGAAAAATAATGAATCAGAATAAAAAAAAAATATATTAAATTCAATTCATTCAGTTATAAATAAAAAAAAGAAAGAGAATGATTACAGAAAAAAAGTCTTTTTTTTTTTATTTCGTCATAAATATTTGGTTGTTTGTCATTAATTTTTATATTTAACAACAACTAAATGACATGCAAAATTTGTAAAAATGGTGAGATTAATATTCTAGATACAAATTTTAAGCATATTGTTTCTGAGTTTAAGTCTAAATCCCTCCCTTGTTTTATATTCCCCTTCAATTCATTTTCAAGACGTTTGTCAAGGCTTGGCCATTGCTCGCAACCATTCTCATTTGTATGATAATGATTCTCATTTGTTGTCCCTGAAGCTTTTCCTCACTCACAAAAGACCTGCGCTAGCCGATCTCATTACTCAGCCTGCTGCCACCCGAAGCACTTTTTGTACTGAAAGTCCAACTTTTGTTTAATGCCACCGCGGGCCTTTTGTCGACCTGGCCGAAAACTTTGTAAGCCCAAAATTGTAAGCTAATATTTGCCTTACCTACATCTGCACACAATACCGGGCGCACATACAGGCACACGTTCATCTGCATAGAGGCAAAAGTGGAACCGGAAAAGAGCGAGAAATTCCGCAACCAAAAATCTAATATTTACCTTGACTTTGCAAAAAGCAAACTGGAAACTAAAAAAAAAACAGAAAGTCCCCAGTCCAATTCCGGTTTCCCCATGAGCACACTCGCATAGTGTATGTATATTTGAACAAAGGACCGGCCAGACAGGAAAAAGAAAAGGGAACCCAGTGTCAGAGTCTATCACTTTAATCAACTGGACCGGTCTGACTGCTCGAAATTATGCAAATTCAACGGAAAATAAAATAAAATTTCTGACGTACGGCATATCTAGCAGGAGTGGAGTGGACTGGAGTCCTTCGTGTTTGACATTGACTTGCGGACGTGACCGTGCAAGGACCAAGCAACTTAATGGTCAACTTTTCGATGCCGCGGCACTTCCCCAGCAAGAGCCCACTTACAAATCACACAAAAAAAAGTCCAACAAATAAGCTGATTATTAAATATTTTCTTAATGAATTTTTCATTAGCTCTTGCAGAATTCCCGAGCAGGTTGGCAGCCCCGTGAAAACGGTAAATATTTTCCCAAGATGGCGCGCGAAAACAAAATGGCTTCCACTTACAGGTGTGATGACCAGTCGCTCAGGCTCCGGCACATACCTTTAAAATATTTCACATTCGAATGCAGTCGGAGGAGAGCAAAAGTCAGACAACAATGAACCATTAAATATGCAAAAACCTTTTTTTAAATGCAAGCCAAATGTTGCTCTTAGTGCTGCCGAGAGAAATGAAAGAAAAAGGCGATAAAAACTGCTAAAAGGCACCGGGACTAACGCACAGCAGAAAGGAAACGGCAGTCTGTCAATAATAAAGGCTTCCGGAGGCAAGAAACGCAAAACGGAGGTCTTCTGGACTCTTAAGTTCGTTATGAATAGCATAAAAACGCGGTTTTAAAAGAATTATATCTCTTTGAACTCTATTTCTAGACGAGTTAATATTAACACACAGGAATTTATGGTACAAATACAAATTTATTAATAAAATGTTTTTTAATATTCTTTTCACCTCTTGTTTTTGTATAATTTCATAATTTTGGGTTACGTCATTTCAGCCTTAAGAATAGATCCCATATTAACAGACAACATTTAATCATAGTTTTGAAAAGAAGTCAATGCTTAAAGTAGTCTTATAACGAATAAAAGCATTACTTTAAGGAAATAACCAACGTAGCAAATTAATTCCCGACACCTCTCATAAAAATGTTAAGAAACCGAAAAAAACAACGTTGGGGTTGCAAGGGTAGAAGGAGAAAAGCGGCTTCCCTTGCCGAAACCCAAAATGAAGCGACGCGTGAAAAGCATTCCCCGACTTTGGAAACGATTCCACACACCCCAGGAGAAAGGCAAAAATAACACGGCGGCCGGAAAAAAAAGTGCAGAAGGAAGAATCGCTCGTTGGGATTTGCATTTAATTGAAATGAACGCCAACGGTCGACAGAGGACACATCAAATGGCCAGGCCAGACCAGACAGAATCTGAATCTGAATCTGGATCCGAATCGGAATCCGAATCCGAAACCGAATCGGACGCACAAAAGGCATGGGGAAAAGAGCAAATGGCAAAAGGCCGAAATTCAGGGGGCCCGGCCCTGGAGTTTATCCTGCTGGAGGTCCTCGAAATGAAATCTGAAATGAACGCCGCCAGCTGACCCTGGAACGGGACAGTTCCGCAATATATACCTACGTATCTCCTTCGAATTCCAGCTTATCGAAGGACTGGCTCCATTCTCTTTTTCATCCCCCTCTTAGCTCGATTGCAATGTTTGATTTTTGCTTTGCTTTGTTTCAGCCCCTCCTTGCCATTACCAGAGTTGTCAATTTCGTTTTCTGGTGAGGTCTGCATCTTGATGGAATTTCGCCTTCTGCGGCGAATCTCCGTAATTTTATGGGAATTTTCGTAATTCCAGGTGCAAATGAGATTGATAACGCTAATTCCCAACAACAGATTTGCATTTCACTTTCAGCAGGAAGAGCCTTTTTAGGATATTAAAAAAAGTAATTTGAAGCAAATACTAGCAGTAATGCCATTTAAGCTTATCCCATTCATAAGCTTATTGACTTATTCAAAAAAGTTATTCCATTACATCTCATGTTACCAATTCAATTTTTTCACAGCAGTCACCCTGCGTAACAATCACAAATCATTGAAAATTATCGTATTAAATATTCTGCATACCCATAAAGTCGGGTAAAAAAATCGTTTAAACAACCCCCAATCAGTGGGGAATATTTTTCCACTTCATGAGCTTTTTTATCTCGCGTTTTAATGCAAACAATTTTGACCAAATCAAATTTATTTAGCGCATGTGATGACAGCCACGCCTAGATATTTGTTCACTGTGAGAACAGACCCCACGAATAAATAGCTTTGGGGCAACGGGATACCATTTTTTCGCCGCATTGAAAGCGTCATTAATATTGCAAATCGTTTGCCAATTACATTCGAATTCATCATCAATTTATATGTGAAAAAAATGTATTTAAAAATCAAAGCGCGTAAAAAGAATTATGTAAATGTTATGGAATTGGTTTGGCTGCAAGTGAAATAAATATATGTATGTATGTTTTCCTCTATTGGCGAGCTAATAAATAAATCAATTATTTGCGCCAGCTTTATTTCTCACCAATTCTTTAAGGAACTCCACTGAACAACGGGGTTACTTCATTTTACGTAAAATCAATACATTTTACATGTCGTTCACTTCAGGCTGCGGCAGGCGTGCTTCGAGCAAAATGAAATTAATCGGTAGATGTTACGGGAAATGCCGTAAAGGCCTGTAAA